TATTTGAGATGGAGATCTTACTGAATGAGAAGTAGTAATATGCAAGTTTGTATGAGGTATTTCACAACTGTAGTACTGTAGTCCAACTTTTCATCAGCATGTTTTTATCTCAGCATTGCCTCCTTTCTGACAATCTCCACTCAAGGAAGGAAGAAACTCTTTTTATAACAGTGATGTCCTTGGCTTTGTAAAGAATGTAATATCTTCAGATTTAGCACCTCTCTTCCCAGCCTGATGTTATTCTTCTGAATGAAGGGCAGAAACAAGAGGCTCCCTGTGCATACAATTGGCACTTCTAGCTGCTTCTTTGCAGGCTATTGTGTAGTGTGCGTGCATGAGCTGAAACAGTGCTCTTGCAAAGAATTCCTGACTCTTGTGTTTCTAAGGAGATACAGAGATGTAGAAGGAAAAACATTTTGTTTACCAGTTAAAGAGAAGTACATCGGGTATTTTTCACAAAGTCAGAGGTTCTGTCTTACTGGCACCACATGCCAGCATTTTTCAAATTGTGCAGGTGTTACAGGAACACAAGGAAAGGTCAGTTCACAATTTCATAGATGCAAAATTGTTAACAAATGCAGTGTTAATATCTAATCAGGAATAGTCAGTCACTGTCTTCCTATCGACTGAAATTTTTCTACAGACACTCCGCATTCATTTCTGAATTCCTAATATGTAGGAAGGAAGCCAAGCATATCCAGGATTTTTAGTATCAAACCATGTAAATATTTAATTCAAATTGCTCTGTGTTTTACCTGACAGTTATTGAGAGTCAGACTCCTTTGCTTTAACTATCTAAGCTTTTATTCTGGAACAAATGTAACATCACAAATAATTTAGATGTAATTTGGAACATCATAGAAAATGAAAATGTAATAATTCTCACTTACCCTCTTTACAAATTTGAAGATTCTCAAGCAGTCTTTATTCTCCACCATATCTATAGACTTCTTTTCACACACTGTGTATATCATCACTGCACAGAAATTGATCATCATAAACTTAGAAAACCTTGGAACATTACAATTCAGACACCTGTAGTCTACAGAGCTTTTCTGAAAGACAGAAGTGGTTACACTCTGAAGAAATATCATCAAAGGACTACTAACTGGTTTTAAAATATTACATTTAATTCCAGAAATGTACTTTCTAATTTCCCTTCCAATCTAAAGAAACAATATATTTTTTCAAACCATAATTATTTATGGAGAAAATGAAAGTAATAATAAAAAATCAATTCTGTTTGTTTAAACTTAGGAGGATTTCCAAAAGGAAAATGAGATTGTAAATACCAACTTTGTGTTTTAAGTCTTTGAGGGTTCACAAATAAATCTACCAGAATAATCAAAGGAGTTGCATTTCAATCTGGAGCTTAATTGTATATAATAAATTAAGGTTCTCATATTTTTAAAAAAATTCAAGGCTACAAACTTTCATTGAAAAGTGATTAATCACAGTGAAACACAACTGAAATTTGCAGAGAACTTTTATATGCCATGCAACGGGCGTAAGGGAAAGGGAGAAGAATGCAAGAGGAATTCTAGAAATGCTTTCAAATGGCCAGTTCATTGGCCTAAAAAGGAAACAATACTTCAGCTTTACACATTAGTCCTCATTATTTATAGTATTAGTATTATGTAGCTGATCAATATGCGGCAGAATACACAAAGTCTAAAAAAACTACCAGCAGACTGAAGGAACTTGCTTTAGCAACAGTTTGAGATACATAAGGTGACTGCATCCACAATGATTATTGAGCATCATTTCAACGTCAGAAAAATTTTCCCTTTTAGTCTTACCAGAAGGCTGTGAATACTTCACTTTTCAGATTGCCAAAAATCTTCTGAATTTTTATCTAAAACTATTAATGACCAATGTGCTGTACATCACAGGGATTTTCGAACATATTGTCTTTCACCTTTCAATTTGCTGAGGAAGATGGGCCAAATTATCCTAATCTTGTCTGATAAGGTGAGGTCTTGGTTCTCTTTATACTCCATTTGGCTTTTTCCTCCTTTTGTTCCAGTTCTTTTTGAACATGGGTGAGCATAGCTAGGGGCAGTATGTTGCATGGAATTTCATTAGTGTCTTGCACAATGGCACTGATGCGTCCATATTTCCTACTGAAAATACTTCACTGTGTGTATTCCAGGATCATACCTACCTGCTTTATGCTCTTGCTACACCTTCAAGATTCAGTTCTGTGTTTGGCTGGTTCACACATCTTGCTTTTCTAGTATTTCCTCCTAACAAATTTCAAGTTCGCTGCAGAACTTACTAATCACCAAGTAAATTACTTCGCATCTTACACTGTGAACTTTCTCCATCTCTATTACTCAATATTTAATGTCACCCAGGCTCAATTTTACTCATTACTGAGAATACTTCTTACCATGATAGTAGTACGAATTCTACTTCTTGTTTTGAAGTCATTAATAGTAATGATAGGATCAAGGTTACGTTTTTCATGACGCTCCATTAGTACTACATTTCCACCTAAAGCCCTACCCGTTAGTTAATTACATGCTTTCAATCTGTGCACTTATATTCAGCTTTGCTAAGATTTTAATGTATTGCTTTATATCAAATACTTTACAAAAGACCACCTTTAGTAAATGTAAGGATCAAGGCTTTTAAGCATACCATTCGATTTGGGGATTTTTTATCCTTAATGAAATAAAATGGGTCCTACCCATCAGTTCCCAGACAAAATTGCTGCACTCTCAAAGAGGAATGGTGATGTAAGTTTTCAGCAACTCTTGGTCAGAGTTCATGTCAGATCGGCTCTGTGGTCAATCTTTTGAGCAAGGAGGACTGAAACAAAAACAGTGAAAGCAAATTCTTACTCAACTACCAGGAGTTCATATCATTAAAAAAAAAGTACCGGGAGTATTGGCTGTATGGTGCAGCATAAAGAAAGGATGCGTAAGAAGCAGCAAGTACTGATAGTTCAAAAAACCTGGCAACATTACATTAGCCAGACCACTAGAAATTAAATAATAAAATATCTCTTTATAATTCTGCATTAAAATCTTTAACAGAAGAGAGTCTCTCATCAGTCGCCATGTCTTTATGTTGGGAAGTTTTATAAAGAAAAATATTCTGCAGCTTTATTCAGCTTGTGATAGCAATTGTTTTCAAAGTTTTTGTACTTGACATAACTATATGTAACTTTTTTTGTCACCTAGTAGCAAACTAAAACCTGGGCAGACTTATGACATGAGATTCTCTGCTATATCCTCAACCTTAACCAGATGTATCATATTACATTTATTGATATGGGAATAAAATAACATTATTTGTGAGATTCTCAGACAAGATGGGGGTTTATTGCTAATCTCTAGAAAGCACTTGTAAGGGATGAAATTTTAAGCATTATTAAAATGAATGTAGGTAAACAATGCAAATGTACAAATAAAATTCATCCTTTGCTTAAATCCCTTAAAGTTAATAAGAGTACATATTGGAAAAGTTAACCATCAGACTTATAAGTGAAAGTTATATGCAAAGTTCTTAATTTTCCTTTCTCATTTAACTCTCTGCCCCAAAATAACTTTACCACTAAATGGAATTAGTTATTAGATAGAGTTGATATTCAGGAGGTCCTCAGTACAATTAAAAATTAACCAGTGAGCTCTGTACAAATAATTCTGTTAATCACCTTGTTACATTCTACCTTTCTTACTCTCTTTCATTTTGTAATTCTGCTTACAGTTTTCTAAACATAAAAAACCACCATGCACTGTCCTTAAGTTATATAACCAAAAAGCCACAGCTGACAGTAAATGCAGCTATAACAAAGTATTCTGAGAGTCTCCAGGAAGCACTGTTTGCTTGTAAAGTCTTCAGGATGTACTTTAAACATTTTGCTTTTGTATATAAGAACTGAGGGTTTTTTCTCTTTCAAAGAACAGTTCATTTGTTGGTGGTAAATGAAATTCTTCAACATTTTTGTGACGTAGATGCACATAGATTTTCTTAGGAAAATACAGTTTAAAAGGAAGATGTCTCTCTGTTGACAAAAAAAATTAATGTCTCCAGTCTCAACTGTCAAGAAGTGACAGCCATAAAAGCCTTTCAAGCCAGATTAACACCAGTCTGGCGTCTCATTGCCTTTCTCTAAATATGAAAGACTTTTCCTGATAAAGCCTGTGCTGCCAGTTTTGCAGAGGATTCCTGTCTAAATGCACCACAACTATTGAAAATGAAGATGTGCCTTCTCTGATTCAACAGTAGCTCTGCAATGTCCCCAGTGTGAGGTCTGCAAATTAAGGAATATGCTCCAAAATTAGGAGAGAATTCAGATAACTGTGAGAATAACTAGAATTGTGAAGAAGAAAAAAAATTAAACAAAAATTAATTTTTTTTTTTTAATTGCATTGTCTTTTGACAAAGTATGTTTAGTTTATCACAGAGGAGGTTAAAAGGCTCTCCAGCTGTAACCTTATAATGCATTGGATATGGCAACTAGAGTATCATGGAGGGGATTTTAGAACAGCAAGCAAAGCTACTGGAAGACCTAATGACTGGAAACTGACATAATGAAAAATCTAGATTACAAGCAAGGTACAAAGTCACGACTATGAATGTTAGGAAGAATTATGGCAGCTTTCAAACTAAATTTTGATTTTTTGTCAAATTCCTTATCCAATTCAACCAGAAATATAGTATTTAAAACAGAAGGCAATTCTAGAAAATCCTGGTTTATGCAATGGAATTCATGAGATGGCTACACTGGTCCCTTCTGTCCTTAAAAATAATGATTTTCTGAATGCCCTTTTCTCTAACAAAACTTTGTACAGACACAATGCAGTAATTTAAGTCTGATTTTGATTTTTTTTATTTGTTTGTTTGTTTTTTCTGTTATGTTTTGTTTGCTTTGTTGGCTTTGCTTTTTGCTTTGTTTCCTTTGCTTTTTTGTTTTGTTTTGTTTTGTTTGTTTGTTCCTTTTCTTTTTTGTTTGGTTTTTTTTTGTTGTTTCTTTCTTTCTTTTACTCCAGGAATTGGTCAAGGGGTTCCAGTGGTGGCCCTCATTGTGGAAGGAGGTCCCAATGTTATCTCCATTGTTCTGGAGTACCTGCGAGACACTCCTCCTGTTCCTGTTGTGATATGCGATGGCAGCGGCCGGGCATCTGACATCCTTGCCTTTGGTCACAAATACTCTGAAGAAGGAGGGTAAGTCATTTCCTAGTGTGTGTTTTTGCTCCATCCACAGGTTAAGTTTGGTGCTACGACAGAGCCCAGGAAATTATTAGCAATATAATGCAAAAACAATAACTTCCTCACACAACTGTTTCCATCATCATCAGTAAAGGTGAAATATGAAAGAAAAAAGTGGTCATTAAAGCAACACTAAGTGAAGTCTACAGGACAAAGTAGATTTGTAGAAGCTGTATGACATAGTTTATTTGCCATGACATTAAGCATATTTAGAAGTACAATGTATGGCATCTTGCAGTTAAAAGTCGAAGGATTCAGTCAAAGGGCACAATTATATTATTACAGAATCACCTCCCTTAACCTGCTGGCCACGCTTTTTTTGATACAGCTCAGGATACAGTTGGCTTTCTGGACTGCAAGCCCATTGCTAGCACATGTTGAGCTTCTCATCAACCAGCACTGCCAAGTCCTTCTCATCACAGCTGCCCTTAATTCATTCTCTGCCCAACCTGTAATTGTGCTTGCAATTGCCCTGACCCAGGTGCAGGACCTTGCATTTGGCCTTGTCAGACTTCATGAGGTTGGCACGGGCTCACTTGTCAATGCTCCCCTGGATGGCACCCTTTCCCTCCAGTGTGTCGACCACAACACACAGTTTGGTGTCATCAGCAAACTTGCTGAGAGTGCACTTGATTCCACTGTCCATGTCTCCAACAAAGATGTTAAACAGAACCAGCCCTAGAACCCACCCTTCAGGAACACCACTTACTGTTGCAATGGCATATTTGCTGGCTCATGTTCAACTTGGTGTCCACCAGGACCCCTAGGTCCTTTTCTGCCGACCATCTTTACTGCCAGGAGACCCTCGTCGTGCACTGGTACATGGGGATTTTCCTTGGGTGCAGTAATTTGAATTTCTCCTTTTTTGAATTTCATTAGGTTCCTGTCAGCCCATTTGTCCAGACTGTCAAGGTCCAGGTAAGGTTCAAGGGCAGTAGGACCCTCTGGCATATCAGCCACTTTCCTGGTTTTATATCATCTGCAAACTTGCAGAGGGTACTGTCAGCCTCATCTTCCAGATTACTGACGGGAACGTTGAGCCAGATTGGACCAGCGTTATTCTCTGGAATACACTACTAGTTGCTGACCTCCCACTAGATTTCATACCACTGATCACAAACCTCTGGGCCCAGTGATTCTGGCAGTTTTCAATTCACCTCACTGTCTAATAAAACTCCATCAAAATAGTCCATAAACACTTAGCTATAGACCAAGCACTGTTATGTTTGTTTGGTTTTTTTCAAAGGAGATCATTAACTTACTGAACCTAAAACTCCTACTGGGAATAAGGTAGTTTAATAATAAGATTATAATAATAAGAGAATAATAGTAACATTTAATAATAAGAAGATATTTTAAATAATTTATATTCAGGTTCATGCATAGTCCAGTACTGTGTCTTGGATGGATCTGAACATGCCAGGTTTTCTCTGAATCTTTGAGAAGTTGTTTCTCTGTTTTTGGACATGTCACTGTTAACACATTTAACATAGTCTTATTAAAACATTTTGTCCCTTTGTTTGCTGTGTTTCCATCTACCTTGTCTGTGTTCTGAGAAGGAATGCAATTTATTTCAATATATAAAGGGAGCTTATAAGTAAAACAGAGATGGGCTTCTTATGAGAGTCTCCATTGACAGGACAGAGGACAATGGTTTTAAATTGGAAGATAATAGATTTAGAGCATAAGGAAGAAATTCTACTGTGAGGGTATGAGACACTGAAACAGGGTGCCCAGGGAAGTTGTGGTTGCCCCTCCCTGGAAGTCTTCAAGGCCAGGTTGGATGGGGCTTGAAGCAACGTCATCTGGTGGGAGGTGTCCCTGCCCATGCAGGGGGGTTGGAACAAGATGATCTTTAAGGTGCCTTCCAACCCAAATCATTCTATGATTCTATGTTCCTATTTCATCATCACAAACTCCTGCCTGTAAGGCAAGTGATAGAATCACTAGATAAAGAACAAGTAAGTAATTTCTTACCTGAGATTCTCAGTTCTGGCTTTGCAAAAACCTACTATTATCATGTGCTACCTTACTATCTATCTTCTTTCTGACGTGGTGCCATTACAGGTGGTGCCTGCAATATTATCATATACCTTGCTTGCTTTTTTTTTTTTTCCTTTTCTGTTCACCTTGCAATAATTAGAACACAAAAGTATGAAATCTGTAAAGCTCACTAGTGGGAATTTCTCTGTGTTTGCCCTGCTTCAGAAAATCTTAGTCTGGAATGCCATGGTAGTTTTAAGAATATCACCAGTGAAACACCAATATTATTTATATTCTTAGAAATATTTTAACCAAATACATTAGACTTCAAATACAAACTGAGTACTTTTCCCTCTCTGTAACCTATTTTTGAATAGCACTTGGCAGTATAGAAGAATACTGAATAATTGGCACATTAACAAGAGTTCAGCTACTAGCTATTTCTTTTGGATGGAATCTAAGCAGGTTATACAAACTGCCTGTTAGACTCTAAATCAATCCAAATTGCATGCAGAATTTAATTCTGCAATCCACTGTGCACTCAGACTATAAAGTAAAAAACGTATTTTAATTCTGGTTGCAAATCAGGATTTTCCCTGAGACTCAGTGTATCTTCCAGCTGCTGGATATCTGATCTAAGTCATTCACAAAACACATAATTCAGGGCAGCAACAGAATCAGCACTTGCATGTTGCTTATTATCCTGCTGATTTTTCAGTGTCTTAAATTCTGACCCATTGTAGGCCAATATGAATTCAATTCCTACACATACGAATGTGTGTATATGTGTACTAAGCACTGCTGTGAGGTTCTACGTTTATTTGACAGTTCATTTTGGAGGGGGAAAGCACTATGTCTAAAGGTGAAAGAGAACAAAATTAGCTCACTGCTTGAGTTTTGATCAGTGCAGCACCAATCTGCCCTCTCAGAGACATCCTTAAAAGTGTTGGACAACTGCATATGTGCCCAACCAGTCCTTTTGTGCCAGGTTTAACAATATTATGATGTCCCTGCCTTCCATCCTCGTTATTTAGCCTTCCTAATTGATTTAATATAGCAGAAAAAGAACAATTTTTAAAATATATATATTAATTAATGTGCATTGCCCTTTTGCAGTGTCAACGTAGATGCATCCTTGAAAAGGCAAGAGACAAGATGCTTGAATCTGCCTTATTTTAAGGTCTGCTTATAGGCTTTCCTAATGAAAAGGCAGATATTTCACTCACTTAGGGCAGTCTTTGGGTGCATGTTGTGACTTTAAGCACGACTTTACTGGGCTTCAGTGGAATGAGTCTACCAGCACAACTCGGGGAGCTGTGCTTGCCCTGCCTCTCAGGAAATGCTGTCTGCAACTACATAATGTACTAAGAACTGGTTAGAAGAAACTGTGAAGCATACTTTTAAGTGAAGATGTCTTTGAAGGTGAATCAGTTTTGAGGCCTCAGTATCTCAAGTCTCATATGGAAGTTCTAGGGGGAAGGCAAGGCAAATATGGAGTTTCCCACTGAGCTTTCAGCATTATGAATATCAGATAGGCAAAGCAAGGGGGGAGGGTTAACTTTGCCTTAATTTTAATATCAGAGACTACATGTTGTCTTTGTCTGAAAAGTGTGGAACAGAGTATTAAGAATTGTTCTGGTTTGGTTTGGTGGGTTTTTTGGTAGCAGGGGAAGGGCCCCAGGAGTGGCTCCGGTAAGAAGCTGAGAAGCTCCCCAGCTCTAAGGAGCCATTAGAGGGACATTAGAGGGACTGACTCTAAACCCCATCCCCTGTCCCCCTGTGCCGCTGGGGGGAAGGAGGAAGAGAAACTGGGAACCAAGTGATTTGGGCCAGAGAAGGGAGGGGTGTGGTAACATATGCAAGCCTTGCTCTGTGTGTTGTCTGTGTCTTGTGTGTGTTTGATTATTGCAAAATTAAATTACTCTTTTTTCCCCAAGTTGAGTCTGTTTTGCCCGGGACTTTAATCGGTGAAGATCCCTCCTTGTCCTTTGTCTCAGCCCATGAGCTTTGTCCTCCTCATCCCAGTGTGTGTGTGTGGAGGGGGGCAGTTGAGTGAGCAGCCATGTAGCTGTTCTTTTTTGTTGTGTTGGATCCAAACCATGACAAGAATGTTCAAGCTGTCTCCATTTTGCTAAGAATAAAATTCTCAGTGCTATGCTGAGTAAGTTCTCAGTAACTTCTACGTCTTAATGACAAACAAGCTATGTACACAACTAACATAAATGAGAAGACGGCTTAAATGCAACCTTCCCCATGTGGTGAACTGGAAGAATTACTTGGCTGCTCACCACTATTGGCTCTAATTTACCGGTTAGGTTCTCCAGACTCTGAAGCTCTTAATTTTTCTTAATTTACTTCAAAGTTGTGAATATGTTGAACACTATTAAGGGGTAAAAACATCAGAATGATCATAAACACCAAAATTTAGTCCCTGCAAAGCCCTTAGTGAACATCCTCGGTATTAATAACTCTCTGTATATTTTAGTTGTGAATAATTATATGTTGACATGTTGAGCTGAAGTATTTTTGAGTGTGTAATCAAGGATGTCCTCTCGCTTCATTGTCTTGCATAAGAACACAAGCTGGAAGTAAAACAACCGTAAAGTGCAACTATTTATAGGATCATTCAGCATTTTTTAATCCTCAGAGGGTTTTTTAATTAAGAGCTGAATGTAAAATGACAAAAAATAAAACACTAGGTAAAAATTATGTCAGTTCTTAGACAAATATTTCCTTACAGAATGGGAAATTACTTGCAATATTAGAATACAGTCTCCGAGCTGAGTTTATAGCATATTAATGACTCCATCAGTTCTACTCCTGCTAGCAGGAGATCCTTTAGAAATCCAGTTCAATTCCATAAATATGTACTTCTTGCCTAATATTCACAAGGAAACAAAACATTCTCTTTGTTTTAAATGTGCAACCTCATATGAGAACCATTAAAGGTTGCCTTTGGATTGACCTGTCTGCGTCCACTATGGCACAGTTTTCAGGATTCATAACTGAAGTATATTACTTAATTTTTTTAATTTTTTTTTAAAATATGGAAAATATAGGGATTTTTCACTTGGAGCAAAAGGGATCATAATGTTGATATGATGTGGATCTTCTCTATCCCCTATGATGTCTATCCTGTAATGGGGGATCATGGTTGTCTTTACAGCCAAATTCCTTTTTAAGATTGATTTTACATTGCGTATTTTGATATCATTGCTTTTTCTCATAACAAACTACTTTGCCAATCAAAAGCTGCATAGAATTAAGGTAATTTGTTCATTGAAGTTCAATCAACTCTCTTTTGGTGAAGGGACAACCATTTAATAAACACAGAGAAAAATGGTGTAGAAGAACAATCAACAGTGAAGATCTACAAGTAAATCTGATTACTCACAAAAGCACCCAGAAATCATTCCTGTTTGAATAGAATGAAGGAATAATTACATTAATTTTCTGTATCTTTTCATAGCAATGCTATGCAAGATATGTGGATTTAAAATGTCCAAGAAATTCAGTCAGTCCCACAAAGATGCACAAGTGTGTCTTTTTTGTAATTCCCATGGAAAAAATATGAGTAGAACCTCTGGTTACATTTATTACATATGGTGTGATTGTCTAAAGTGAAAATTGTAATTAAAGCAGCAAACCTCCTAAGCTTCCCATAAAGTAGGGCAGAGAATAGTTTTCACATCACACTGATATTTTATAGATATATTTTCTGTACCCTGAACAGAAAGAATAATTTTAAAAAATAAATAATAAATTCACAAATTAAAACTTAGAAACAGATTATGTGCAGTTCATTGAATGGAGTGTTCCATTTAGAAAACTTCTAAGTATGTTGATAACAATAGGTTTAAAAAACGTATCATGAACTTGCATTTTGAATTTGGGTTAGAGCATAGTCTTTATAAATCTGTTGCTAATTGTACAACTCCAGTTCTAAAAATCTGTAGAGAAAAAAAGACTTAATAATTTAGGAGCTGGCTATGGACCAGATCTTTCAAATTCTCTCCAATGTTCACTACAAATTCATACTCAGTGAGTTTGAAAGACTGTAATGTTATCTAGTGGAATGTCTATTATCTCCTCAAATATTAGGCATGACTTCAAAGAAAACCACATTTCTATCTGAGGTGGAAAATGCCAAAAAGCTGTTATCATCTGCATTGGCCAAACCAATGAAGGGAGTTCTGCTTTGCTGTTTAATCTTCCAGCTTATCTTGGATAGAAATAGAATGTCACTTTATTTACTTCGTCACTTCAGTGTTTTTAAGTGGCCTTTCCTGATGGGCCCAATACATCATTCTCCCTTTTTTATTGTGGTAAGGCCATGCAGGTCAGTTCTGATAATCAGATGCAGCAAAACTAAGAACTATAGATTCCTAAGATGTAAATATGATCTGGGCTTGCTATGGCTGATTGAAGTTTACTCAAAGCTTAACTCAGCTATGATTATCAGAAAGCTTGCTGTTATTTTTTCTATTTCTGATTTAAATTACTTCAAGTTTTTTACCTCACAAAGACATTGAACACATTTACTGTAGCATTGCAGAACAAGAAGATGTTAAAAAAACCAAACAACAAACAAAAAAAAACCAAACCAAACAAACAAAACCCAAAACTTAATAAACCTAGACAACTGCAAAAATTCAGTTATGACAGCAGGAAGTTTCTGAGCAGTGGTGCTTCAAGAGATATGTAGCCCTAGTATTAGGGAACCTCTTCTTGATACTTGTATCTAAAAAAAAAACCCTCCATGTCTTTCACATGGAATTTGCCTTGCATGATGTTTAAACTTGCACCAGCATACAGTTTCTGATAGCTTTAAGTCATGAAAGGAAAGTGATGGCTGTTTATGAAGCCTTGGAACTGAATTCTGATTTCACGCAATGCTTACAAAAGCAAATTCCTCTTACCTTCTATGTGTGTTGGCAGAGCCAATTTCTGAAATTATATTTCAGGTTTGGATTCTACACTTTTTAAAAGAAAGTTAAATTAGTGTGAGAAAACAGGATGGTTTTCATCCAAGGACATTGGGAAATGTTTTCTGAAGTTCTGTATTTCAGATTCTTCCAATTACATGTGATTTTATATATTTAATTTACTTTCTCATGTACATATATATATTTTGTTAAATAGATATAGATATTATTTAATATATAATTTCCAAAGGAAGCTGAAGTTTTATTTAAATCTCTTTTTAGATTTTCCAGTTGCTGTTTTTAGAAAACTTGTTCTTAATGTTTAACTGCCTTTCTCTTTCTTAGTTTGAAGGATGGAAAATTGTGTAGTTATTTACAGTGATAGAACCATTTTGTTAAGAACAGCCTTCTTGATGGTTTGAAACAAGATTTCTTTAAACAGAATTTCCAAGTGACTTTTTTAAAAGAGCATAAAAAAGGGGTTTCAGAATTTCTGTCATACATAACCTACCAATCTTCAACTAGAAGTATGTTAGAGATTTTCAGGGTGTCAGCCTCTCTCTAAGTTGATTCTTTTTAACATGGAGAGAATCTACACTTCTACCTGTGCTCTGATACCTTGTTTCATGTTCCTATGTGCTTGCCACATCCTTTCTTCTATACAGGAGTTTAGCCTATTTTTCTTAAAATCCACACACAGAAAATCGTTTGCTGCCACTTGTTGCTGCCTACCAAGAGGGCTGAAGGTCCTAACTCATAATCCCACGGTTTTCAATGTCTCTTTCCTATTTTTATTCATTGTCATTTCTAAAAACATGTTTGCTATTGGTAAAGAGACTAGATAGTTGAATTATATTTAAAATTCAACTGTGTAATGAATATCATGAATTGTTATTTGGGGTTCCTTGCTGAAGTATAGGCAACTTTTAACAGTAGTATGAAATAAACAGGGCTTTGGTCAGTGTTTCCCCTAAGGAGCTGCCACAAGAGAATTATGACTTCTAGATACTGTGCTGCTTCTGATAATTCTTTGCAGTTGCTAAGTCTTTGCAGGGCTAAGTCTTTATTTATCTTCTGTGATAAAACACAAGTCATGAAGATCCTCTGATTTTCATTCCCCTAGATGGGCAGCAATGACCTATCCTAAAAAACATTCTGACTCAGCTCATTTGAAACTCTCAGTTTCAAGTTTCAAGTGAGAAAACTGCTATGATCCATACATCGAAGGATACATGTTCCACATTAAAGCCCACTCTTTTGTAAGACATTAAGAACAGCAATGTTTCACCCAGAACAGTCCTGAGGAATAGGCTTTTTTGGTATCAAGGGATAAGGTTCAAATACTAATATTTCATGTAATATTACTATTTATTTCTGCTGTTGGGCCAGTTATTTGTAGTATTAATATTAACACTGAGGAGGAGTATAAAAATGGTTACTCTTTAAATTCCTGGAAGATCAGCATGAACAAAGCAAAATTATTTCTTTAAATGTACTTGGAAATGGAGATGGTTTTGATTGTGTGTTTTCTTACCCAGTGCTGTGCAGCATCGATAAGGTGAGTTAAACCTTTTGGGACATTCACTCTAAAATCAAAAACATTGACAACACTAGTGCTCCCAATTTCGTAAAACTAACTTTGAGCTGAATTCTGCTAAATCACTGATAGAAAGGGGTCTTCAGGTCACCCAAAAGTGTTGGTCTCCCTCAAATCCAGACTATCAGTGTGGTTCTTGTTTTTGTTAGGAAATCCCAGAGAGCTGATATTTTGAATGACCTTCTGTGATGCGGTGTGAGAAATGAAATAAAAACTTTGGAGATGAGACACCCCAACATGATCAACGTGATTCTAGGACAGTGGTTTCTGATTTATCTCTGATGGCTTCTGAGATTCCTGCCCTTTAAACCTGTCCAAAACAACCTGGAGTGATTTGTTGTCTGTAATTTTGTTCAAACCATGGCTGAGGTTGAAGTGTTCCCTCACGTCTTTTTTTCTACTTTATTCTTTGTTTTTGAATTTCAGACTTATCAACGAGTCTTTGAGGGACCAGTTGCTAGTTACCATACAGAAGACTTTCACATACACCCGAACCCAAGCACAACACCTCTTTATTATCCTCATGGAGTGCATGAAGAAGAAGGAGTTGGTATGTTCACACTTGCCTTAAAGGAAAATACAGAGAGAACACAGAGCATTGTTTGGTTGAGCCTTTCAGGTGCCTTTTGAAGAATTTCACTAACCTGATCCCTGTGACCCAGATTCTAAACCAATATTACATCATTCTGACTTTTATTTGCTTTAATCTCTGTTTTCTCATTTAAAGGGATTAATTGCACAGATCTGTTCCATTTGTAAATTCTTCTGTATTTCCTATAACAGAACTAGTAGAGTACAAACATGATTACTGTAATTTTCAGACATATTATTAAAATTGTACCTTGTTCAACTACAGAAAACATCAGAAGGAAGCATACTTGTTTATCTGTTACTGGGATTATATTTTAAGGATACTGTAGAGTTGCACAAGTTGCACAAGGGCTTTTATTTTCTTACATTTTCTTTATATGTGACAGGAAAAGAAGACAGCTTGTCTCCAAGGCTCCTGTTCTGCTGTGGCAAAGCTATTCCTTTAACATGGAATTATACTTTCTTGAAGAACATAACATCTTTCAACAATTTCTGGGGGTTTCATGAGGCTGCTTTGCTCAAAGCATTTTTGAAGAAAAATCACATTGTGAAAAACTTAGAATTCGATTCCAGGGGTTTTCACTTCTTACAAACTGTCTGAATAAGTGTGCTTCAATTTTATATCCATCTGTTTTCTAAGCTTTGTTTTTTGTTCATATCGCAGCTTCCTGGAATTCCAGGCTGATGACAATCGGCAACACTTTGTGTAGAGATTGACTCAGTTGTTTTATAGAAGTTTCATTTTTTGAAACTGTGAGTTTTTTGTGACTTCATTCTCAGCAGTGTCTAAATTTTAGCTGAAAATATGGCATAGAGTAATCAATAGCACTGAGCAGAATGTTTGAAAAAACAGATTGCCAGTCTAGGCCATGCTTTACAAAATAGAAGCTACTTCTTTATATGGTTTAACTTGCCAAAAGCACCATATTTTGTTCAAGAACTGGCAGGTCATGCATGCATCAAAAAGTGGTCAACCCTCTTCATGCATAACTAATCATTTATATAGATCACAATCACCCGGGATGTACCTTGGACAATGACAGAGAGGAGAAGATCCCAAGGACAACTTCTCAGGCATGACATGAGAGCAGCAAGCAGTGCCACTATGCTGTTGCAAAGTAGAGGATTGATGGAACTGGACACAAAGCAGACCCTGCTGTAGTCTTCCTCCCACAATCAGAATTTAAACTTTATAGCTGACTTTAAGCATCCTCTAGCTATTCACAAGCAGTAAGTGCAGCCCATAAGGTATAAACTAGTCATGCCTTCCATCAATGAACTACAACAAGACAGAGAATTATTTTTTCTTTCTTTTTCCTTTAATTTTTTTCCCCAAAATAATTTCCTTTGCATTAAAAACTCTCAGAAAAATATAGCTGTGGCACAGAAATACTTTTCCTCTCCATCTGTGGTTGCCAAGAGGTACCATAATCCACACAGTACTTCAGTTCACTTTACATGAGTAGTACCTATGTGCCTCAGTAGTGCCTTAATAGTGAATTTCCTATAACATTTCTTGGCAATGATTAGCGGAAAGAACCTCCTTAGGGAAATAACACTAATTCTTTTGTGCCTGTTTCCTTTAATGTAATATTAATCAATAATAACAATGACAATAATAACAACAATAATAATGATATGCACATATAAGATCTACTTATGAAACAGTGTGAATGCAAGCACAAAAAACACACTTAATAATAGAGAATGGAACAAAGAGATAAGGAAGGGAAGGAGAGGGAGAGCAAAAGAGAGGGAGCAAGGGAGGAAGGAGGATAGGCAGGAAAAACAGAAAGGTGGGAATTAACAAAGAATAGAAAGTAGAGGCAGACATTTAACTAATAAGATTGGGAAAATGCAATTCCGAATTGTTCCAGACATCTAAATCCAAAACTGGTTATCAAGCTTTGAACAAACTGCTACTGCAAAGTTAACTGTAAGGTTTTTGTCCGTGATATGCACTTCAAGATTTGTATTCCAAGCAAGACTGTGCATTTGTTACAAGTTCATTTACAGACTTGTAGCCTCTGTCACAAATGACATTCTGTACCTTTGTATCTTGCAAAGAGCTATTAGCCAGGAGGTTGTTTGGTTGCTCAAAATTAGGTGTTCTGAATTAGAATTTATGCCCCTGATACAACTGTATATAAAGAGAATACATTCAAACAAGTGTTTCTCTCTGGTACCTCAGTTGTATTTGAGGAGTTAATTTTAACAGTGATGTGCTAGAAAGATCATATATCTGAGATGTGGTTGCTGGGTTAATGGTGTCCTTTAAGACTCATAACCTTGTATATGAATGTAAAAGAAAGATGATACTCATAATGATGAAGATAACATTACCAGAGTAGATGGATGAGCTTAGAGATGTGAATTATTCCCAGGAGTGAGTGATGACTTCACTGGTTTTACAGAGCCAGTTTTTTTTCATATTTATACATCTATCTCAGCCCTTAACCTTCCTCAAACTAGACCTTCTGATTTGTTTGTCCATAAGACAAAATGCTGCTTGATGAACTGACTTCATTGTTAGTCTGATCTCCCCTCTCCCTAAAGAAACAAATAGAAGGAAGATGCAAAAGTTTTGTCTCAGAGATCCCAGCATCAAATTGATCATGGCTCTTTTCCCTAAGTTTATGGTCAGTGTGCCTGAGTGACTTTGTGGCTGCTGAATTCATAGGGAACAAAGTAGACAGTGAAAGAGAGGCATGTCACATTACAGTGTGCAGCTAAACAATTAAGTGCAAATAGGGTACAGGCAAGAAGATGCTTTTATAGTAAAGTACATAATGCAGATGGATCACAAATGAAGAGAGAAAATAGAATGCAAGTTAATCTCTGGAAAACAACAAAAAGCTGTATTTGATATATTTTTTCCTACTCTACCTCCTTAGAATGTATGAAAAAACTGGACTTTTGTTTATGAATTTGACATAAGTATGGTGGCCAGGGAAGAAGCATAATCATAACAAAATAGCCCCCACCAGAGGAAGTCAGATTTTTAAGTTCTAATACTTTGTACTTCACTCTTGGAGAGTGGTCTGTGAATTGCATGCCCAGAGAGCATCATTATTATGATGTGCAATGTTCCATTTATTTGGTGAAATGTAAGTTCATTTGTTGAATATAATCTGAGTACACAAGTTATATGAGATGAGACCATAACAGAGGAGTGATCTAAGTCTATTAAGTCTGCAAGTCAGAGCAAATTTCACTTCTTAATTTAATGAGTTTTTATTAAATTGTAAACTTAGCTGTGCTGATACTGCAAGCATCAGATTTTATATTCAGAAACATATTTGGTCCTTTGTGAACTCTATGTTATAAAATCCCTTTAAAATTAAGTAGACTAGACATGTCTGTATATATAACACTAGATTACAAGGGTAGGCAAGTGTTTTGTATATAATTTATAGAGATTCTTTACTATCATATTTGCATAGAATTCTTAAAAAAAGTTTATGCCAAGAATTTCCTAAAATAGGAATATGAAGGCTCACTAAGGCAAAGTGGACAGGAAGCAGCATTGTAAAGTCTAGTTCACACTTTTTTTCAAAAAGCACCATGAACATTTTTGCTACATGATCCAATCTGTATGCAGCTAAAACAGCCCACCCAGTTGATGATACCTTGCCTGCCACTAAACAAACAAAATCTTGAAAGCCGCCACAAAACAAACAAACAAGAAATACAATGAGTGAAGGAGGGAGTTTTAGAAAATAAACAAGAATCACTTCAGATAGTCCCTGAAAACACAATGGGTAAGGGTATTGTTCAGAAGCTTGTGCACATGTGTATTTAGTTCTGTCTCAGTAAATAAATTAACAGCATTATTTTACCTTTAAGACAGTAATTCTGGTGTTTTATGAAAAAAAACCAGTCTGCTTCACTTTTTAAAGACTACTTAATTTTGCAGTTTAGTACCTTAGTAATAAAAAAATGGCACACAAGCACTAGCCATAAAGACTGTGTACCACCTGCTGGTTAAGTTTGTTTTCTTTTTACTACCATGAGCATTTTCTTCTGTTACTTGTTTCCTTAAGTACTTGAAGGTTCAATTACGACATTAAGCAAACTGATAGTGTCATTGCCTACCACTGCATTGCAAGAAAGTTTTGCAAAACTTAAGAGATATGGATGGTGATCACGGGTCTGTGTACATCAATGAACCAAAAGACACAATTTAATTATTTTCTTGTTAAGAGAGAAACTAAAATCTCCCATTTCTGCCTCATGTTAGCAAATAACAGATATTCTTTACTTCCCACTCCTTTTCTCTCGTATCCCTGTTCCTCAGTGTACACTCACTGTGACAAACATATGGCTGCTTGGGGACAGTGTAAACCTTGCTTCGTATTTGCTGAGTGTATATGTATGGTGATAGGTCATTCCAGATGACTTCATGACTAACTTGGAATTCTGGTGCTGTCAGGTTAAACAAGGCAGGTGTCACTCTGAAAAAGCTGGATGCACCGAGCTGAGATCAGGACAACCTGCATCATGAAGGTGCTTGCTATTTATTGCGTTTTTCTTTTAAACAGGGATGAATCCAAATTGTCAAAAAATGCACAGTGCATGAGCAGGCTGTGTTGTAAGACTAGCATTCATATCCCACTATGTTCTTACTAATGCAGGACTTAGCTTATTGGTTACTTACCCAAAGAACTGGGAAGCTGTTGAATGATTTAGCAGTCTCTTTTCCATTTGGACTATAATGTCCATAATATAGGTCTGTAAGAACTATTTCTCTTTGGTGATTTCAGTTGTGTCTGACTGAAAAGGCTGGAGGAAATCTGTCTGTGTTTTTGTAAGTTTTCATACTGGGAAGCGCTTGACTTGATCATACACTGGCTGCAAAAACATTGTGGTTTTCAGCTAGATGTGCAAGCTTAGTGAATTTCTATGCTAATTAAACACCATCTGCAACTGTTTATTAGTATACACATAGATACATTCTGA